GAAAAGGTGGTTTAAAAAATTTTTAGCTTATCAAGTTATAGGTTAGCTAGGCCTATACCTGAATGTGTAACGGACTTAGGAATACTTCTGTAGAGGAGAGTATGGTAAATAACAAAGGAGAATACAAGAGAGGGACAGAGGGCAGAGGAAAGGACGAGAGGGCAGATGGTAGCCTAGACGAAGGGTCGGGGTTAGTGGAGGCTAAGATGACATCCGAGACGACCTCGACTCCACGAGGCGGCTCCTTTTATACTGTGGTTTCTACCTCAGTATGACGAAACCTTGATAGATGGGATGACGAGGTGCGTCGGCGACGCTGATGAAATCCCGGCGGCTGTCTCGAGCTGGCGCGTGACTCAGCATGGCTTACGTATGACTCGACATACCCAACAAATTGGCCAAAAAGGTTAAAAAAAAAGGTGTGAAGCTGCCTTCTAGCCTTCTGGGCTATATTCCCTGACGACATCCTTCCTCTCTCCACATTAACAACGATTGCGCGTGCCAATGGATCGGTCGAAAGTCTCATTTCAAGGCTACATTTTTTCAAGTACTCTGAAACCCAACACCAATCCTTTTTAGTTATAAGGTCAACTGCCACAGAGGTAGCAACTTTTATGCAGAGCTATGTTGACTCGCCCTAATCTCTTCTTCTGTAAAATCGGTAAAGCACGTGCGTGGAAGCGATCTCATTTTAAACGAGTGTTTCATCGTTGAAGTACGAGCTCTCAAGTGTGTGCATAAAACATGCCCTAATGACGCAACGCGACGCAGCTGCACGCCTCTAAAAGAAAGTTCTTTTACCTTGTGATCTCGGATTTAGTGACCTTTACCAACGCCTCCAACCGCTAATTGTTGAAAAGACTTGGATTATATTTCCTATATTCAAATAAGCGATGAGGGATTGGTTATGGTCCCCGGAGGAAGTGAAGGTTAGTTGGATAACTTTAATTAGACGATTCGCATGCACTTAATATTTCTTTGTTTTTCCTTACCATGTATTTTAGGACACTCCGTCTGTACAGCGTGGAATGTCATTAGCAGAAGAGGCCAGAATTCGAAGAGAAGGCATAAGGTTAATAATGGAAGTGGGAACTGGCGTAAGAGCGTGAGTCTTGATCGTTCAATTCTACAACAGGCTTCGGGTTTACCAACAACTAACAAGAAACAGTTCCATCCTATTTGCTATTTACCTTTTACTTTGACTCACGTGTTGCTGACATATAGCCGAGTTCTAGATGAAACGTTTCATTGGGTAAACAATTTATCGGCGAGTTGAGTAGCGAGGACGAAGGATTCATTTGACAACATACCTCTAGTTTGAAAGTGAAATTATGACAGTAATTTTATCTGCAAAGGGGAGGGGGTATGAAAGACCCCTTTATATCCTTTTCTGCACTTAGCTCAGATACGTTTTCCTAAGATGTGCGGAATACCAAAATGTCAAGGGTGGGCAAGCGTTTACGAAGGAGCTCCGAGGGGNGAAAGTGAAATTATGACAGTAATTTTATCTGCAAAGGGGAGGGGGTATGAAGGACCCCTTTATATCCTTTTCTGCACTTAACTCAGATACGTTTTCCTAAGGTGTGCATAATACCAAAATGTCAAGGGTGGGCAAGCGTTTACGAAGGAGCTCCGAGGGGGTGACCAAAGTATGAAAGTAGACGAGAAAACCAAATGACTGTATGTTTTTAAATAAACCAAACATCAATGGCATTACCAAGTTTTCTACATGCCTCATTACCATGGTCTGTTAGTCGCCATCAGCAACACTTGACTTTTCAACCATATAACCGGTCTAATTTGCTCTTAAGAAACCACATTATTGCCAAAACGAAAGGTAATTCTGTTTAGCAAAGCCTGGCCTACTATAGGAACAGCCTCAATCTACTTCCACCGCTTCTACATGTTCCACACGCTTCAAGAATTTCCCCGTGAGGTGAGTTCAAAGGTATTATTACTTGCTTATATCCACGTGTTTTTATTAATCACCTTACAGATTGTCGCCATGGGTTGTCTATTTCTTGCTGGAAAAGTGTCGGAAACTCCGAAAAAGTGTAAGGATATTGTGACTGCTGCTCAAAACGTCTTTCCTACTGTTTATGGAAACAAGAATAGGAATACATTTGTCGTGAGTCTGTTGTCGCTATTTCCTATTCTTTTGTGTAGGTCTGTTCCATAATACTACATGTTTCAGGATGAAATCATGGGCATCGAGCGTGTTCTGTTACAGACTATGAAATTCGATCTTCAAGTTGACTTGCCCTACCAGTATCTTATTGATTACTCGAAAAAATTCAAACTCACTAAAACGGAGGTTCTGGTTTTCATATTCCTTCTCGTTATATACGGCCTATGACTCATAAAATCAATGGAGGTCTTTTTTAGATCAACTCTCTTGTTCACACTTCATGGACTTTCGTCAATGACAGTGCCTTTACGACATTGTGCTTGATTTGGGAACCCCAGGTAGTCCTGACATCCAGTAAACAAATATCTTCTTGTCATATTCATTAAGTTCTGCCTTTCAAGGTGATCGCCGTAGCTCTTCTTCACCTTGCCATTACCGTTCGTAAAGTCAACATCGGTCTCCCAGACTGCTGGTGGAATGAATATATAGCAAACTTATCGAATAGCTTAATAGATGATATATGTCATAAGGTAAGCTCTGTTTTTATGATCATTCCTATTTTGTTACGAGGCAATTTTGTCTGAAAAGAGGTTTTCTTTCATTCGCCTAACTATGTTAAACTTTTCTTCAGGTACTAGACTTTTACTCCATTTCGAAAGAAGAGAAAATGGACTTTATGCCACCTCGTCCGTTCATTCTCGGTCAAACACCCATCGTTCCACCGAATACTGGAACATCTTCTTAGTACTATCATCAAGCTCTACATTCTTCTTATTACCCACACTGCTCTTGTATGCTCCCATCTTCAATAGCGGCTATACTTTTTTGTTTTCTTTTTTGTTTATGAATGACATCCTAAGGATTAGAAGGGGGAAATGAGGCAGGACAATGCGACTTTATTGCGTGACTCACGACTGGTCGTGCGACATGCGTTTTTGTGCTTTTGTTTATTGGATTCCCATTGCCTCAAAGTTGTTTAAAGAAGTGTTACTCTGTTGGAAGCATTCGACGATGAATTTCCCTCATGTTCGCACTGCTTCGTCTTTCCTCTGACTGCGTGAACATGGATTGTTGTTTACTTTGTTGCCTTACGGTTATGTACAAATTCGATAATTTCTATGTGATAAAGTCTAAATTGCGAAATAAAAATTATATCTGAGCTTTTGATCATTCCATTTGATTCCTGTGTTGACGGGCAGTACATGACCTAATTTGACATCGTCAATTCTATTATAAGTTCCATTTCAAGCGTGTATTTCTGGTGTTGAGCGGACCTCGGTATCGGTTAGTATGGGTAATCGGAGCTCGTTTTTTGGTTGACAGGACGTGGACTAGTGAGTTGTTTATGGGTTTTTCTGACCATTTTTCTATCTTCATTTACTTTCACTAAGTACGGTGAGACGGAGGCGGGCTTAGTTACTTTAAGGCTTTCTCTGAAGCTATAGTCGATTGAAAACAGTACTTAAAATTCGTTTGCACCGCATATTCCTGTTTGCATCGGGTATCTACATGGTGTTTTTTGTCGATTGTTATGGGCCATCTGGCGCATGCCTATAACCTGCGCAGGTTTTCTACCATATAAAAATGATCCACAGAGTATTCGAAAGTCAGTGCTGACTTTTATTTGGCCTCTCCCACATAATTCTATCCTGTCCTGTTTTACAGTCGTACATATGCTCCTAAAACTTTTTGAATGAGATGTTTTTCTATGTTGTTTTGTTAGATAATGTCGAAATTAGCCATGAAAACGTAATTGTTGTCAGGAAGGCGCTGAGTTATTACCGTAACCGGATGATTGCGGAGGAACTGAACCGGTACCTCGCTGTTTTTCGAATAGCAAGCTAGCGACTGCATCGTTGAGATTCGCACATGTGCGCTTCCAAAACGTTCTCTTGACTCAGCAATACCTATTCACATGGCCAACTTTCGATATTCAAGTTTTATCTACCCGAAACGTGTATTCCTTTTTGGTGATTGAAATAACTGAAACACGGTTTCGTATGAGGATTTCCGAATAGAACAAGTTGCAGTGGTTGTTTTTTCGCTCGATCCTAAGCTCTAATTCCTTTGAGTGTCTCCTTTCATTGTCGATAGCTTTTTAATTGCGCCCTGCTAACTTTTTTTTTCAAAACCGTTATCGATGGATCGCGAGTAAAGAAGTAGCCATGTTCGATAATTTGTTTTTTAGCCTATAATTATTCGCAGCTGTCATGTTTCTGTTTTCAACCAGTGTTAATTTTCAATAAATCAAGCGTTTTCGTTTTTGAAGAGTTCACCTTTCTAGGGCACGCATGGGAGAGCGCAAGACTTCCACCCTACGCACTACTGCATCTGCAGCTACCGTCCATCGCATTCCTCTATTTCGCACTATGTATATTGTAGCAGGCACCATTTTATTCTTCTTCTTGAATCTCTACTTTATCTATGTGTACGTGCAAAATCAATCAGAAAATCAGCTTGGGAAGGCAGTAGCAGTGCAGCATCAGTTGCAGTCAAGAGAATCTCATTCGGTGAGTTGCTGCTGTTTGTATTCAATATTTGTTTTGAAACTCGAAAGGTGACGTTAGGAAAGTAAGCCTTGCATAACTCGCTTTGGCGTATGGTCGTAAAGAACTGGAAACAAGTTTCCAGTTGACTGACTTCGAATTGTCATGATTATTCTGCATGTCCTCTTTGATGGTGGCTTTTCAATCGTGTTCACTTCAGCTCCATCCAGGTGCAGTTACGCCTAACTCCAACTTGTACTCATGTAACATCACCGATCCACTGGCTCTTAGTGCTCTCGCTCGGGTCAAGACGGAGTCATGCATGAAAAAGGTATGCTGCCCTTTTACATCCTCTGTGTAGTACTGTTGTTCCTTGCTGCCTCTGACTGCACTTTTCCTTCCTTTTCTGAGCTTCTTTTTTACCTTTTCACTGTCCGGTCGCTCTGATGCACGTTGCTATCATGAGGATATCTGAAAAGTATGGAAGTTGGTATGCCGTATTCCGATATCTGGGTCTCTTCTGTGTATCTACTCTGCATCTGTTAACCCCGTGCTGGGCTTCGTACTCGAATTAACCAGTAACCATAGCAGTAGAGTTTTTAGAGCACCCCTTATTAATTATGTTCCTAAAATCATAGGTACATTTCCCCCAAATCCCATTATTATCGACGGGGGATCGTCGTAGTGCTGTTTCCTACTTAATCCATCATCATTGCTTTCGGCTTACTGTTTTCTTGTAGATTAGCGATGCTGCATGTAGGCTGAAGAATGGTGCCTTTCATGAACAGTTTCCTGAGAGTCAATGCAGCAATCATGGTTCGTGCTCGCATTAGAGTGAACTAATCATTGCTTTTCCATAAATTCTCGTGTTTCAGACTCCTTGTTAATTGATCTGTCTGTTGGATGTTTCGAGGATTACAAAAACAACAGATCATTAAATGGATTTTCGTACGAGTTTAAGAACGATAATTCTGCGGAGAAGTGTCGATCGCTTTGTTATCGAGCTGGTTTCGTTTATTACGGTGAGGGATTGTAATTACCTCCTCGGCGCGATCGTTTTTCGGTTTTTTGTGGACTCACAGCTGTTCTATTCTGAGAGTCCGATGTCTTTTGATGGGGACTTTTTGTATTGTGACGATCGTTTCTTTATTCATCTCTTGTAATTGTAGATCGTTAAACGAATGATACATTGATTTATATCTGTGCTTGACTACATTGGTCACTCCTCCTTNTGCGGAGAAGTGTCGATCGCTTTGTTATCGAGCTGGTTTCGTTTATTACGGTGAGGGATTGTAATTACCTCCTCGGCGCGATCGTTTTTCGGTTTTTTTGTGGACTCACAGCTGTTCTATTCTGACAATCCGATGTGTTTTGATGGGAACTTTTTGTATTCTGACGATCGTTTCTTTATTCATCTCTTGTAATTGTAGATCGTTAAACGAACGATACATTGATTTACTACTACTGATTTACTTGACTACATTGGTCACTCCGCCCTTTCGCCTGGTAGTGTTCCGATCCAGTCATGATACTCGTTGGTAAAAAATCTCCCTAAACAGAACGCCGGCGGCCTCTCTGAGAGCGTGAGGTTTAGTCACCCGGCCATCTTTTACTTATTTCATACGAGACCCATGATGGAATTTTTCTGCCACTTTTCTCTTTATTTCGTCATTTTTTATCGGCGTTTTATGCAAAGCGTGAAGTGACTGGGGTGCACTCATAGCAGCTTCATAGCTTGCGCAGGCTTGTTTATTTTTACGTAGATATATGCAAAAAAGACAAACTTGTGTGTAAAAACTTGGTTCTAGGGTTGCGCCCGATAGGGTAAGAAAAAGACGTCGTGTGAGCTTGCTTCCGGAATAACTGCATCATCACGAATAACCAAACATAATGCTGTGTGCTGGCTTGTTCTTCAGTTAGAAGAAGTTTTTTCACAATTATGATGGTTTTTAGGGTTGGAATTTGGTCGCGAGTGTTTTTGTGGTGATTCAATATCGAGTAAGCCTCTCAGTCAGGAGAAATGTAACGAATACAAATGTAGTGGAAATAAAACCCAATTTTGTGGAGGATTCAATGCTGTTGCAGTTTTTCACACGGGCTTGAAACGTGAGTTCCTCCTTTTTTTCTGGCTCGATTACTTCCTGTAATCTTTAAAACTTGAAAATATTTCCGTATACGATGTTGACCTTCCATAAAGACCTTGGTTCTGCATGTTTAAGGAGTTCATCAAATGCCTAAAGCTGTTTTTGAGACAAGTTTCGATGGTAATTCAAAGCGGCCTCGAATATTGTTTTTACTACAACTGAATGGTAGAAATGAGCGACAGGTACGTTACTTTGTTGTCTATTCCTCATGCTTTATTTTCATGGCTTTGTAATTTTAAGGTCAAGAGACTCCTGAAGGTACTCTATTCTCCTTATCATTATTACTATATTCATGTTGATCAACGGCAGCTTTATATGCTCACAGGTTCGGTTATCAGAAGCTCAGCGGATTCTTCAGGATGATCGAAATTCCTTCCGTATTTTCAGAAATGAAAATTGTCGCTGCGAAAATTCCAAATGTATTTGTCTCGCCAGATGCTCATAGCACTATATGGGGCGGTGCTTCTTTATTGACCATGGTGCAAGGTAGAATACTTACGAGTATTTCATGCATGGAAATGTTTGAATCATATTATGCCTCGTCGATTTAGATGCTATTCGTCGCTCTATCTCCATACCACTGCTCTCAGATTGGGACTATCTTATCAACTTATCTGAAAGCGACTTTCCAGTAATGACGCTTGCTGAGTTTGAGGCACAGCTTCGCGCGTAAGTTCCCATTTTTCTGTTTTCAGGGAGCAGGAGTGCAATGATTTCCATTATGTGTGATTGTTGACCTGCTCGACGTCTCGACGATATTGATGTTCCTTTGTATTTTTTGTTTTTGTTCTTCAATATCTCTTATTTAAAATAGCAAAATAAATCGCAAGCTAAAATTGTTTTTAAATTTCTCAGTTATTTTGAGCCATCTATTCTATAGTTTGGCCTTCATCCTTGTCTTATCTAGGAGCGTGGTTACTTAAAAAGGCTTATTGAAACAAAACAGACTCAAACCTTTCATTTTGTTTTAAGTTCCTGTTTACAAGCTAATCGATCGAGCCGCAGCCTTCAGGGGCGCTGTTTTTACTTGGACCACCTGAACCAACTGATTTTGATGACAGCAATATCGACTGTAGACTTCCGCTCATCTCTTGCTCATTACAGGAATCCTGGAAAATCTTATATGAGTAGTCATGGCTATAATACAGCAAGATTCATTCAAAAACAAGGGTTTGACTTTGTTTTCATAGAATGTGAAAATCGTTTGACTTTGTTTTCATAGAATGCGAAAACCGTATGTGGAGGATCGGTAACAGGTATCTTAACAGGAGTAAATATTTAGTAGTGAAAGTCTTCGACATGTAATGCTCTTAGTATTCTAAATGATATCGTTATAGAGGCGAGTTTCCCCGAAATCTCCGTGTGGACGGCGGCTCTGACTGGATAGTTCTTCATAGAGAATTCGCTGAATACTCCATATCTGATGAAGAACTACCTACAAAATTACGAGCTTTATTCGCGAGCATTATATTGCCAGTGGAAAGCTTTTTTCATACGGTACGTCTCAAGACTAAGATCTCCTCCAATGTTTTTGCGACCTTCGATATTTTTTCAAATTCTCGCATCAGTCACAAGATTTCTTTAGTAGTCTTATTTTCTCTTCACGTCCCATTGGTGATAAGGCGACAATGCACTTTTTCGGTTACCACCCCTTGCACGAAGTTTATTTTTCAAGGCTGCCCCGTCGCATCGATTTGTGTAGCCTTTTCAGCCACTTTGAGCATTTTTTGAAATGCATCCATAGCAGGGAACTTCCCTGAGGTTTTCATGTTGGTGGCTTAGCTAACTGTTAATATTTTCTCAAAAAGCTTATGAGCTGATCCCATGTAAGCGAGCCATGGCCCACGTTAAACATCCCAATCCT